AATATGTTTATTGTTCCAGTAAACCTAATTTATATTAAATCTGTTTGTTTTTCAGATGTACATTGCACTAATTTCCTTACACGCGTTAATCATGGCGGCCTTCCACTTTGTTTTCTGCTTTGAAGAAGACTGGTCAAGTAAGTATCTGAATGAGAAAACAATCTAATTTCCTCGGCATGAAATCTATTTTATCCTGGGTTAAACGTGGAAAAAAACCTTAAAATGAGGTCGTCCTTTATTATTAGCAGCATAAAAACATCAAACTTTGAGTGCATTAAATCTGTGGGTAAAAAAATGTTTAGTTTTCTCCTGTAACTTTTCACACGGTTGAAGCATAAAAACGTCTTTTTCACAAAACATTTCCCAATCTGATCCAGAGGTGGACGATATGGACGGAAAGTCTTATCACAATATTTTGCCGTACTATCCTGACGGTGATAAAAATGACAACTGTTTATTATTTCTTTTTAGATAACTGTATGACTCTGACATAAATATGGCTCTTGGAAAAACATTTCCAATTTTAATCCGGTTCTTTTTACTGGTTATATAAAGAAGTACGAGTTGTAGAATGGTAAAGCCACCAATCCTGACAATACAGACGGTTTTGAGGGATTTTAAACATCATTAATTGGAAATTATTGTCACAACAATAAATCAAAATTCTTGTAAATGAAAAATGATGCCCCTAATCTGACCTAATCTCAGGGTTTGAGGTTGATCAATATGTTGCATGTTCGCTTGTCCTTCTTAAAGAAATGAGGGAACTGCTGAACTTGTAGAAAAAATATAAGTTTTCTAATTATTTGAAAATTTACCTCTAAACTAAAAAGGGAAATGTGCAGCTTTTGTTTCCCTGAGCGATGATTCAGTCTATTGTTCTGAGTTTTCAGCTCAAACAGAAAAAAACCTTCTTTTAAAGATTCCTTCTAATGAGATGTACGAGTGGCTTTAAGGTAATAAAAACTCTTAAATGTTTCTTTCTCTCTCAGAGTGCAGTAACTTCTCTCCACCAGCCACAGTCATCCTCCTCATCCTCCTCTGCTTCGAGGGTCTGCTCTTCCTCATCTTCACTGCGGTCATGTTTGGGACTCAGGTTCACTCCATCTGTAGTGATGAGACGGTGAGCGACTTCCTACTAATCCACTTTAATCCCACTGCAAAAAAAAAATCAAGCAGTTTAAAGTGCAGCGCTGTCAGTTTTAACCACAATGGATGAATGACGAAGATGGATCATTAATAAGTAATGATGGATAGATACAGTCAACTCCAGGTTTTATCTTAATGGTTTAAGACGATGCATTCAGTTACTGTTTCTATTTCTACCTTGCATTGTGTTTATAAATATGATTAGATGTCAGATTTGTTGGGAAACTGTTTTTGTTTGGTGTGGAGAGTAAACTCAGTCAACCCTTAACTCCACACTCACTCCTTTCCTCCTTCTCTTTCGTTGCCTCATCTTGTATGTAGAGCTGCTGATTATCTTGTGACTTTGGGCTCCTTCAGCTTATATTTAGTATTTATAATTTACCAAAAAAAGCCCAGAAACGCAGTGGAACCAGGTAATCCACTTCCAGCCCCCTGCTAGGCTGACTCCAGTACATTTTCTGCTCTTACCACCCACGAGCATGACTCACAGCGCCGTAATATTCACTACAAAGATCATCTGTCTCAGGCAATTTCAGGGTAATGGAGCCTGCAGTTCAGTGTGCTTTTCAGTGAGTCACCTACAGCCTATGGGAGGAAAACAAAAGAATGAAAACATGATTCATTTCCCTCGTTTGTTATTCATAATCCAAAGCGTTTGTTTTCCCCCTGCAGGGCATCGAGCAGCTGAAGAAGGAGGAGAGAAGATGGGCCAAGAGGTCCAAATGGATGAACATGAAGGTGGTGTTCGGCCACCCCTTCTCGATAGCCTGGCTCAGCCCGTTTGCGACGCCGGACCACGGCAAGGCCGACGTCTACCAGTACATCGTGTGAAAGCTGGACACGGACTCATTTTAAAGTTTCTCTCTGTGTCGTTTCCATCCTGAACGGTGGATGTTTCTTGAAGTTTGGATCTCCTCGGGTCTGTTGTCGTACGCTTTTAGTTTCTGTAATGTAACTTTCTGTTTTAATTGTTTTTTGATCGTTTCCCTTTTGGTGCTGAATGAGATTAATGAGATTTAGCGGCATCACGAAGCCGCGCCGGGAACAAAAATCAAATGAAAGATAAGAAGCACTTGGAGCTCTGTTCGTTGCTGCGTGTCGGATCATTTCCTCCTTTCTCAGAGTAAATCATGTGAACTGATGACCAGCATGGTCCAGGTATCGACTCCTGGATTCGTCTTCCTGTAAATAGTCCCACCATCCTCTTACTTACTTTGCTGTTTCAGTGTCTTTGCGATAATCTCCTCCTGAATGCTGCAGGTGATTTTTGCCTTAGAACGGTCCTTCAGCAGGCGGCACATCTGATATTTTTAAAGATATCTCTATTTATTGCCTTAATGCAACACTGCAGGTTGTCACTGGTTTACATTATTTTCGAAGTGAGAATGTTGCGGCCTCGTTCAGTGGGTGGATTTGTTCAGGAGTGTGTTTTTATGCTTATTTTCCCGCATAAAAGCCATAAAGGTAGAACAAATCATGTGTGATGAGATTCAGATCGTTTTATATGTAAAATGTGGAAGCAACCATCCTAAAGCAGAAGCAATAACTCCAGTGATTGGTTCAAGTTATTATCCTTCATACTACAGCATGGTTTGACACGTTAAACACAAAACTTATGCTTTTTTAAGCATAAATTCCTCCATATTTATTGGCACACCCAGTAAAGATACATGTGTAAATTAAAACAATCTTTCTGGTTTATCTTAATGGGAACTTTGGCTTTAGTTTCTGAGATTCATTTAACCCGTCAGCATTGACAGAGTTGTTTTAAATTTTCTAATTATTCCTTTAATTATAGATATGCTCAAGTTTAGACGAGATGGATTTTGTTTAATCACCATCTCCTGACTTTTAACACGCCTGCCTTATAATTACACTGCATGTTCTCTTGTGTTTCCCATTTTTAAGAGAACAGGAGGCAGGAAATCTTCACTTTACTTTATAGTTTTAAAAAAAAGAAAAGTATAAATCTGGATTTGTTAGGTTTGTCTATAATGTCGGTGGCACAAGCAGTATTATTTTAATTATTTATAGGATTGAGTGAATAAGTGTACTCAAACTGAAGTTTGAAATGTATATTTTAATACTTCAGCTGTTAAAAAAATCATTAAAGCTCCTTCCATACCTTTACCTGGGCTGCCAATAAATGTAGAGGCCACAACAGCTCTGGAAAAAGCTGCAAAGTGCTGTGATTTTAATAAATGTAGGTCTGTGTTTTGAGTAAAATTTGCATGTTGCTTGTTTTCGTTTTGCTTATTGCCTTGCAGAGAACTGCTGTGCTTCAAGTTGTATTTACCAGCTTTCCGCTCTTCGTCTCCTCAGAAATTTGCAAACATTCAGACAGAAAAAGCATCTTTTAAAAAGCTGTAAGTCTCCTGGCGGAGATCCAAGTTAAACCTGTGCACGATGCTTTGCAAGAAAATCCTGTTTGGACGGGTTCAGGCGAAATGTTGAATCGGGATGAATTATAATCCCAACAAGACTGAAAGGAAGACAAACTGCATAAAAATGCTGTTAGATTTCTGACTTACCCTCCTTCAGAGTGTCATGCCTCACTGCTTTTTGAAACGCGTATTTCACTGTCAAAACAAGGGAAATGTAACATTTTTGGGGTTGAAACTATGACAGCTTGTCGGTTTCCCATCAGTGTCACTGATCCTGTTTGGAAACGGATCAGTAGCTTAAACTTTCATTTGTAGAAATGAAAGTTTAAGCTACATGTTTAAGTTGGATAACTTATGGATTGCAGCTTATCAGAGCAAAAATAAAAAGCAATATGAGTTCCTGTAGCATCTATAAAAATTTCAAATGAGGTATTTTGTAGATTTTGCAGTCGTCAACTTCGGTTTCTCAGCCGTCAGATGAACCAGCATCGTTTTATTATCTGCTACCTGTAAATGTTTGGCCTTTTCACCAGCTGTTGTTGAAAATGTGAAGACCCCATGTGTAATTCAGCTGCTCAGCTCATGGGGTTTGCTTGAGGGTAATGTAGTTGGTCGTGTGCCTGACTGAACCCGGAAAGCAAACGCGGGTCTTTACACGGATCAAATGTTGAGTCACGTTTGGATCAGACCGGAAAAGGCGCGCTCTGACTTTAGATGATGATGATCTGAGGGAAACAACCACTTCAGAGTATTGAACACTAGAAAAAAATGCCTTTGCCTGTGTGTTTTAAAGCCTTACTGTATTTAAAGACATCCAAATGCAGATAAAAGGAAATATTTGAGTGTACATGATGCCAAATTGAGTCTTTAAAGAAGTCTGCTTTTTTCAGATTGCAGCATGTAAAGGCATTTAAATGGGTTTATTTTTATAACTGTCACCGTTATTTGGAGATGTAGCAAGTTTGCAACACAGTGCAACAGGTTTCCTCTACTTTTTGTTGTCAAACTGCGCTGTATGTTTCTGTTATCTGGTTTTAATTTTTTGTTGATTGATGTTTTAAAGGGGAAAGTCAATAAAACAAATTTCAAATGATAAAAGATTCGTTGCTGTAATATAAAAACTATTAGATGTTTTGTTTTAGGGTTCATTATAAAGTGTTAAGTTACACAACTGCAGATGTTTTTGCTGTATAGTTATTAAAAATTTAACTCCTTATTGCCTGATTTTTATTCTATTTTAAAAACACGAACTTTGCTATCAAGAAGATTCCTAGTTACTTTTTTCCCCTGAAAAGCTTTACACTTTTATTTATTGTGATGAAGAGCACTACAAACTCTGTTGCCAGTTTATTCAAGCATTGTTTTTCTGATTCATGAAAACCAGCAAAAATAAAAATCAAAGTGAGACCTCATGCTGAATTGAGTAGCAAATCCTCAAAAACCTTCACACAACACAAAACACCTGAATGATGCTGTCAGATGAGACTTTTATTGAGTTAAACAATGTTTCCTTCCCATTTAGACTTTTTCACTGTAGTTTCACATAAACTCAGACATTTCATTGATCACATTTGTCATTAATGTCTCACTGTTTTCTTTCAGGTTGGAAATGTGAAAGAACTGCATAAGATGCACAACAAACTAATGCAACATCAGGTTTGACACACAAGATCTTAACGGGTCAGGAATTAATTCTTAGCCCTAATGATTTTGGTTTAAACTGCAATTTATATAAAATAAGTTACAGAGCATCACATTTAATCCAGTAGGAGTTTTTTTTTTCACTCAAATCAATTCAAACATCAGTGTTTGCAGCAAGTGGGCCATGCTGGAACAGACTGTTGAATCGTTTACCTCCAGTAATATCATGCCATTAACAGGACACAAACCAGGTATAATGTTTGTGGTGCAAAGCAAAGGTTGTTGAGAGGCTGAGGCTTAAGCAAGAAGGTTTATACCAACCATCAGTCTCGTGCATTTCTGAGGCAACATCATGTTGGAAAATGCTGGATGAGCCTTTTGGTGCAGAGAGAAACCTTGGTAGAAACAGATACCGCATCAATATTGCAGTAACTTAAAAATACCTTTTAGCTTTTGTTTACTTTAGGAAGTACATCTTAATAAAAAGTGGAAAAATTGTTCTCAGATGAGTAAGTCATTGGTGTACATCAGGGGTGCCCAAAGTGTGGCCCGAGGGCAATTTGTGGCTCTTGGACTGATTTATTTGGGGCCCCAAACTGCAGTTCAAGAATTGAACTAATTTTTTTTATTAAACGTTAAATTTTTCATCAGGGTAAAATTATTATTGCAATGGAGAATGGTAGGTAAAGCAGTAGGCATGTTTTTATAACTAAACTTCTATAATAAGTAAAACAATGTTTTTGCAGAGACTTCAACTGAAAAGCCAAATCACCTTTTATTTAATTTATTGAACTTGGTCAAACATAACAAGCGTTTTGAAAGAATGTGACCCAAATGCTGTTCTTATAACTCAGAATACATTCAACTGAGCCTCAAAGAATTTGAAAACTAGACGGTTTTCTTTTAAACATGGAAAATCCTTTTTAAGTTTTAGATCTACAAAGAACAACATGTATGACAATTTGATTTTATTTATTTATTTTTGGTTCTTTTGTCTCTGATTTTGGCCCACATGACAGAAAGTTTGGACACCCCTGGTCTGCAAACTGCAGATTTAATGTGAAACAACCCTGGATAGAAAGGGTGGATCCAAATCCCTCCACAAGAAGCTTTTTGTGAACCCAAACCTCCATCCTGGATAATTTTCTAAATTTGGGATGTGGAAGGAAATATTTAACACTGCTAAGTTTCACACAACCAGAGAAATTGTAGGCTAAAGAGCAGTTCTTCATAGTAAGCAAATACGTGAAGCAGGTGTGTCACTCTGATGCTGATTGATGGTTTGGTGATATTTATTCTGCAGTTTGTAAAAACATGCACACATGACAGGTCATGTGACTGAAGTGCAGCAGCTGCCTCAGGATCAAAACACAGTATGTTTCACAGTCTTATATGCAGAAACATAAATTCAAGTAATAAAAAAACCGAAACGGAACAAAACGTTAAACCCAGAGAGGAAGCAGGATGAGCCCCGCAGTGCTACATTAGAACAGCTGTTAGTTTTTAAGAGTAAGAGGCCACTTTGTTAGCCGGGTGCCTTCTTTACACAGCAGTGAGCCTGATAGATGTTTACAGGGAGTGTAAAAGTAACTAAAGGAAACATAAGCATTAAGTAAGCCATTAAGGAGTTGCTCAGTAGTGATAGGATAATCATGATCAGGTCAATAGCTTCCTATAATATCTGTATTTATTGTATTGCCTCATTCCTGCATGTAATGTGTGAAAAAGACAGAAATAGCCTTCAGGTTTAATAACTGAAGCCAACAGCGATGTCCCGATCAAGGCAATTTTAAGTGATTGGTGTCAATCATTGTATAAAATGAACTCCTGACTCTTCTGAGTCCTTATCAGCCACACCTATAGCATTAGCAAGCAAGGTAAATCGCCAGATATTGTGCAGCAGTTGCTATTCTCATTATTTTGTCGAACAAATTTGGCGTTTCCATGACAATCTACATGTTTTTCGCACTTTACAATGATCTCTATGGTGAATGAGAGACCGTATTGGATGCTGCAGTCTCCTTTGTTTTTGTGGTGCGCTGGACTTAGTCAGAGAAAGCAGCTGAAATGCTGATCAATCATATTTATGATGTTTAAAGCAAAAAGTTTATAGAGCAGGAAAAAATCTTGGGTAAATTTTGTGCTTGACTGGTAACCAGAGCAGGAATGTAATATGTTAGCCAAATTATCAACAAGTCCAATCAAAATATAGAAAAAAACATGCTAATGTTAGCCTCGCACTTCAGCAAACTGATGAAGACAGCACTGGTTATGTAGCTTTTAGGAGATGTATTATAATAACATGATAGTAGCTTTTTTATCTACTTTGTCCCTGTACTGGAATAAAATATTAAAGCTATTTTAAAGAAACTGTAACTGAGAAAAGTATCTGGTCTTAATTTTGCAAAATGTTAGCTGTACGTGACTTGGCTTTGTGTCTGGAATAAAAACATGATAATAACCCTAACCCTAAAAACATGATGATCGGGACATCTCCAAAAGCAATGTTTTACTCTAAAGTCAAGTTAAACTGTGTGACTCAACCTTTGCTAACTAAATTATTTGTCTTTATGGACGGTAAGAAAATCTTTGGTTGTGAGCTTAAAACTCGCAACCTGTGAGAAATTTGCAAGATGTATCGCAAAGTTTTATTTTATTTTATTCCGTACACATTTGGGCCGTGATCGTTGTTGGACGCATGTCACGCATTTCTGCTGTGAGAACAAATTGTTCAACGTTGCATTTCTCAATTGTTACATTGTGCAGTTTTACGATTGTTTGCAGTCAAAATCCTGTAATCACGGTGACTGAGGTGAAGAAAGTCGTCCCCTGCAGGCAGACTTTCATAGAAGGCTGGGAAAGAAATAAGAGTTTACCAAACCGAAAACATTTTTTTTTAAATAAATAAAAAATAATTGTAGATATTATACTACTGATGGCAAAAATACTGAGCTTCACATGTCAAATATCTGTCCATAAACCAAAGTATGACCTCACAGCAGCTACTTTTCAGTTTTAATACACACACTTTAAAAATATAAGTCCAAATAAAATAAATGCACTTATTCTGGTCTAATAGAAACATTGATATCACTCACATGTTTGTATCCAAATGAAATATCATAGAGGAGGTGGTAAAATAGCCAAATGTTTGTTTTATTTGTGTGAAGCAATTTAAATTTCAGTGACGAGCAGAAACTACAAAAATCCAGCCTGGAAGTACTTACATTAAAAACTTATTCTTAATTCCCATAATAACTAAGTAACAGAGATGTGTTTTTACAATCCCACTGTTTCTAGATAATGTGCTTTCTTCATTTTTACGCCAAACTAAACAGTGTTTACAGCTCCAAGTTGGGAAATGAGTGATACTTGCTGATCATTACCCTGGGTAGCTATTTTTTTTATTTAATTTTTATGTTAACATTTTTGTGTGACTGTTTTATTGAACATACTGGATTTTGAGGTTGTGGGTTGTGCCAAACGACTGACTTTCCAACTTTCAGTTTCAGACGCTGTTCCAGATCATTTCCTCCTAAATTTAAATTCTGGAAAACAAATTGATTGCAGCATCGCATTAACTGCAGCCTGTGGCATAATGTTTACCCCACAAACATGAGAATGATATCAACCTCTGATCACCTTTCCCAACAAGGGCCTATTTCATCTCGTTTCCAAACATGTCACATTGTTCATTTGAGCTTTTTTTTTTTTTTTTGCCTTTGTGCTATCATTGTCTGAATATGCAACAAAAAATATAAAGCTAGAATAGTTTTTCCTCTCTCTGTGAATCCGTGCACAGAATGATTTAAGAGCTTGACAGAAGCTGAACCCAGGCATCCGTTTGTTTATCTCCACAAGCCAGACTGTAGCTGTGCTGCATAAGCAAATCCTCCGACGGCAAACATCTCCTAAAATCTTTGCAGAGATAAAGGGGAGTATTTTATTTTACACTGTGTGCATAATTATTAGGCAAATGTGATTTTGGAGGATTGTTTTTATTAATCTCTCAGTTAATCCAAAAATGTTAATCAACCTCAAACATTAGTGTGTAAGAAAGTAAAAGCAAGGTTTAGGTTTTCTTACAGCGGAGCTACTATTGTGTCACACTAAATGAAACACAACTAAATGAAAAACATTCATTTCCCCATGAGAATCAAACTCATTTCCCTCTGCTGATTGTTTGCAACAAAACATTTGATGCTTCAGTGAACACATCCAAACATCTTTACAATCCCTCAAAGACACTTTTGGTCTTTTTTGACTTTTCAGACTCACTAAATTCACTTTTTTGTCTAAAGAAAAGAAGCTGCCTAATAATTATATAAACCTTGATTTAAGGTGTTTACCTCTTTAGACAGACTCGCATCACATGTTAGGCTTAAATAAATTATGCCTTAAAACTAAAACTGATGATTTGTTAAAAAATACTCACTTGTCTAATAATTGTGCACACACAGTGCATGTGACATGACTGGAAGACCTCTTGTTCTCTCACTGGAGGATTGCAGTTTTTTCAATTTTGCACCTGGGCTGCTGTTCAAAGAGCAAATTCGTTGAATAAAACTGCCGTTTTCAGCCGTTATTTGTCTTTGGCTTTGCTTAAAAGCAGAGGAGGTGTCAGCCTGAGCACAGCACAGCCAGCCAGTGGAGACGAGATGCTATTCGTCCTTCGTCGTGGCTGCAGTCTGATGCCGGTCCTGTGGCGAAATCCTCTGCAGTACCAACAGACCTGAAAAGGTCAACGAGATCCCGACCCACCACAGTGTTATCTGGGGTTCCCCAAAGATCAGCTGGCCCAGGAAAGCCTGCAACATGATGGGAAAACAAAAGCAGTTGAAGTGAAAAATATTACTTCTGAATATATATTAAAGCCTGCATTAAAAAACATGGCAGCAAATATGGAGAGAAATGGTCAAGGGTTCTCTAAATCAACTTTGTCTTCTAGTAGGATGAAAAGGAGAAAATGAGAGAAGGTTTCTACTTACGGAAGATACGAAGTTGGAGGCAGTGGTGGTCACAGTGGTTCGGGTGGAGGAAGAGGAGTACCTGAGTGCTTTGGCGAGGAAGGTCCACATCACAGCGTTGCAGGTGAAAAGAAGACCACCACACAGCAGCCTCAGAGGGATGTGGAGCTGGAAAGGGAAAAAAAAAAGGAAATAATATACTACCAGCAATGCTGCCTGCTACTACTGAGCTCAGGAACACAAAATAAAAACAAAGAAAATTGAATTAACATTCAAAATATTACAATGTATTAATATTTTGAATATTGAAATATTCAAAATATTAATACTCAATATTTTTGAATGATTTTTAAGCACTTAAAATGATTAAAATGATCTTAAATCGTTTTTAAAAAATACATTTTTATTTAAAATAAAAAAAACTTATTTTAAATAAAGATAGCGCCAGACAATAATACAATAATGTTAAAAGCACAGACTTAGGAGTAAGCAAATCTTTCTAACTAAATAACTAAAAGTCAAACAAGAGCAAAACATAAAGATAAATCTTGAGTTTGCCCTAGATCAGTGCCTAAATGATGAAGTTATACATCACCATGAGTTATGTGTCACTTTGTAAGTAGAAATCAGGTTTTAAATGGATTTAGACTCAATTACTATTTGCTATCAAAACAATTCTCTGTACAACTTACTAAATTCTCCAAAAGAAAAAAAAAAGTAAATTTTGAAATTAATTGAAAATAAAGATCCCATCTTGCTATAATGTGATACACGGACTTGCCATACCTAACAGGCTTTTGACCTTGCTAAAGCAGGATATCCCACAGGATTGCACCGTTCCCTAATTGGTATTCCTGAAATATCTCAATCCTGATGTGACGCATGAAAATCATGTGCTGCATTTTAATTAGGATCGTTTAATTTACTCTCCAACCCCCTGCTTTCCTAAATATCCACACCAACTCAGAGCAGAAGGTGTGCTGATTGGCGTGAAAGCAGCAAACACCTGTCTGCAGATGTTCTTGACTTCACCGCATAGACGCGGAGGGAAGGTCACAGCAGAAACCTGACTCCCCTCGCATCGTTTCCGCGTCACCTGCATCAGCAACACGAGACACGCTGACAGAACAACGCGATCCCGCACGAGCCGCATCGTCCTTCAGCACGCGCACACTGCACGAGAGCAAAGATGCCGCAGGGGCGACGCGTGACGCTGTCCGTGGTGCTGATGATGTGGGATTTGCTCCCCCTAAAACCAGAACCGGCCCGTTCCCAGACATCCTGACTGAATAATGAACAGAAGCGAGACTCACCCGGTCACACGCTGTGGTTTCATCCGCGTGTCTGAATTTCCGCTGCTCGCCCCACGTCCGGAGTCCGGTTTCACAGACTCCCTTCAGGTAGTCGGCTCCCAGGGACAGTTTGGCCGACGACGACGCCACGGCTCCGAGGAAACCCGCCAGCAATGCATAGAAAACTCCCGGGAACATGATGGTGATGGTTAAGATGGCAGCCGAGGCACATTATTCTTCAGTCCATGTTTGATCACTTCCTTTATTTTCTTCCCTACATGTCTGCTGTTGCTGCCGCAGATGGTCCTGGTCGAGCTGCCTGCATGGTAGTGACCGTATGAATGAATGAATGAGCACATTTCCCTGAACTTACTATCCACGGCCGCGCGGTGGCAGAAACACAGTACATTTGAGCTCCTGCGGCATTCTGGGAATTGTAGTATCGTTGTTTAGAAATAATTTCTCGTCTCCGGACAACCTGGAATCAAAATAAACAACATTGGCTTGCTCTATAAATACAGTGTTTTCAAGGAATGGATTCCAGGAACAATTTTCCTATAAATACTGAGCGAAGCAGCGCAGAATCGATACTAATGTAATGTCCCCGAGTGTGAGTAAGTACGCCGGAGTCTTTGAACAGTGCTGCCAGACTTCTGCTCTCCCTGCAGCATACTGATGAGCTGCAGTAGCTGGGCTGATTACATTAAACCACTCCGGTATCAATTGTAATGGATCGATGCTCTTGAATAGAATCGTTCCCCTAATAGGAAGCCATAAAGTGATAACTAAGATAAATGTGCCTTTAAATTAAGTGTTTTAATAAAGACACGAGTAATCAGAACATCTGGTAGTCTGCAGCTGGACAGAGGAGTGAAGGGGACATTGTAAAAGACATACATCTCAATAGATTAAAATGTCATTAAACAGTTGATTTATAACAGGTCTTGTATTCAATAAGTGAAATGTATACTGCATAGATTAATTGCAGAGAGCGCGTGTTTAGGCATCTGATTAGCAGTTCTCCTTTTTAAATGGAAATACACTAAATGGCTGATCCAGAAACTGATGGATATTTCTAATCTGACCTTTGAAACTCCTTGGGACTCACTAGAATCATCTCAACGGATGCAGGATGAAGGACTCAAAAATCAATTAATTTCTCATGTTTATTCTTTTAATTATAAAACCCAACATTCAGTTTTTATTTATTTATTTATTTATTTAAATTTTTGGATTATTAGAATCTCACATGGTGTTTATTAATGGTTGAAGTGACTTTTAACCTCATAAAACACACTGGACCAAGACTTGCAGATGGTATGACTTCAAATCATCACTGACTACACTGTAAAATATTTAAAGTTGGTTTAACTTGAAGATGAAATTTAAGCCAACAAGAAAATAGTTTTGGTTTTAACTCAGGAATTAAAGTTCATGAAGTTGATTCAACGAAAGACAAGTTGTCTAAACTTTGTTTTTAAGTTCATGAATCTTGAATTGTGAGTTTTAACTTAATGCAGCAATTTAAACCAAATAATTATTTCACAATTTGCAAGAAAAAAATAAAGAGCACACATTTCTCAAATATCTACTTATTTTACTTTAGAATAATTTAAATTCTTGTTTCAAATTGCATGAACAAAATTTCTGATCTGATGATGAATTTTATTAAACATCACAATAAATTCTGCTCTAAAACTTTTAGTATGAACAGGACATTATCCGCATACTTAAAATTAACATTTGTCTTAATAACAGAGAGTCAGATCAATGTAACGCACTTCCATCTCAGGATACAAGAACAAGCCGCTAAGCATTCTGGGAAATAGCTCCCACTCCTGTCTCTTTCTTATTTCAGTTTTTTAAGTGCTAACCTAAAAACTCCACTTAATTAAACTCTTAATATAAAGTTAACACAACTTACTACTGTAAGTTTATCTTTGACAAACTCATTTAGGTTCAAAATCTGAAAGTCACTAAATTTATTTGACCTAAAGAGCAAAAGATAGTAGACACAACTAAATGCAGGTGAAATGTTTTACAGTGTATGAGAACGTCAAAGGGCTTGGATCATGTGCCTCTGCACTCTTCTTTGGGACCTGGATCATCAAATTAAATAAAAAAATATACTTTTATATTAAAAGAAGACTTTGAACCACTTTTTTCTTCAGTCCATATTAAATGTTATCTTTAATTTAGGAGTGGATTCGTCTTCAGTGGGTTTTCATTTGTTTCTCTTAAAGCTGCACTATATAAATGCTGCTGGGATAAAAATGGTTTTCTATCTAAGTCCTTGATTTCACACTTTTGTAACATCAGGCAGACGTGAGAATAAGAACTGCTGAGGTTGAGTTTGGCTTCAGACGGTGTTTTTAGTTCTCTTTGATAAAAAAAAAAAAAAGCATTTCTTGCAACAAAACCTCAAAACAGAAAAACATTTTCACAACCCTGTGAGTCATTTTCAAATAATCTGGTATGATAAAAAAATCTGTTAACAACCATTCAGTTTTATACAATGTGAATAAAGACCAAGCAAACAATTATCTATTATTTTATTTATGTTATGTTATGCCCTAATAGTAGCAACACTAGCACCTGAAATTAAGTTTATCTTAACTTGAACTATTTGATATTTTTAAGTTAGAATATAAACTGTTTTTATTTGCTTTTATATTAAAGGTGGAAGCCAATTTTCCTTTAATTGCCAGAAACACATCATGTGATTCTTCCCAGTAGAAACTTCACTGCACAGAAATACACTCAGTTTTTGTTTTCTGCTGCATTTATAACATGTAAACATTATAGTTTTTAGACATTTTCATTGCTGAAACTGACTTTTTGATCATTTTGAAAGATTTAAGGTTTCCTCTGTAACCTCTTCAGATACTTTGGTCACGATTTTTCTTTTCTAACCAGTAGATGTCTCTAGAGTGCTGTAGAGACGCCTGCAAGGAACCACCACAATCTTCTAGTGGATATTTATAAATCATAAATAAATTTGATAAATTTTATTTATGAATCCATAATTTATTATATATTTGATGAAATATTGTCTATTCTTCTGGTATGTAAGAAGCAGCCATCAGTTAGTTAATTAATAAAGCTTTATGTCAGATTAACAGCTAATAACTAATTAAAGCTCAATAAAACCTTAATTAGACAGTCAATACTCCACATTGGTATCATCATTGCTTTAATTGTGCGCTTATGTCAGGCTGTTAAAAATAGTGCAGCTATTATAATGAGACCAAAGCCAGAATGACAAAGCTGAGCTACTGAAAGGATTTAATTCTCATAGTTTTTATCTGGTTTCTGTTTTCATATTTTTCATAAAACCAGTCAGAGATGACACAATAGGGAACAGAGGAATGATAATCCAGAGGAGAATCAGAATATTCTCCCCTCTGCTTCGAGGGGATAACCGTCCTCCATATTTATCTTTCTGGAGTGTTCAAGTGAAACATCAGGAATAAATTGGAGCCATTACCTGTTATCTCCTCACTTTAAGTTTCCAGCCTAAGGCTCCTCAGACGAACGCAAGTGTCAAGTCAGAACACTAATTGGGGTCCAATTGAGCAATAATTGAACCCGTGGAGAGTTTTAGTGACATTTCAGCTTAAAGTCTGTCACTGGCGTCTCTTGTCATCGTCCACCTTTTGTGCTCCGGCTCATCTGAGGAGACTTTAAAAGGAAAACAGTCCCAGATGGTGGGTTTATTAGTCTAATGACTCTCATGACCTTTAGCTCTGTCAGTCGATACTCTTTTTAAACACTGCAGTGGCAGCTTGACGGTAGTAAAAAAAAAATAAGACCTCTTCATAACCGCAACAAAAAGGTTATGGGATTTTAGGGGAGGCTGTAAAGGGAATTGCAAGGACTTTGGAAGAGACGGCCGTCCTGCAGTAAGAATTTACCAGTTTCATTAAGCCGTGTTGTAGATATGGTCTGGTTCAGGAAGATTTAGTTGAATGTAGTACAAGAAGAGAAAAAGGCACCACTGTGTGTCCCATTGCTGCTGGATTACAATGGAAAATAACTGAAATACTAAAACAAACAGTTGTTGTTCTATGACTTTGTATTTTTGTGTTTTTATGATGTAAAGCACTTTGAACTGCCTTGTTGCTGAAAGGTGGTTTGCAAATCAACTTGATTGATTGATCAGAATATTAATCCCCAAAGGGTATGGCGTTAAAGATCCATCCATCCATCCATCCATCCATCCATCCATCCATCCATCCATCCATCCATCCATCCATCCATCCATCTATTTCTCCCAGGTGAATTTCAGCTTCATCCACTTGTTCATTTGCCAAATCATGAAGCAGAGTTTATTACTCTTATGAGGGTTGTGAATGTAACATGTCTAAGCCCACAACATTTGATCAACATTTGATCAACATTTGTCAAAAGTGGCAACATGGGCCAGCTTCTCTAATAATAGTAACTCCTTATACACAATGTAGTCAATATGGAGAGGTTTGGAGTGGAAGAAGAGCAGCTGCAGCTGGGGAGCATGGAGGTGGGCGTTGAGCTAATTAGTATATTGAGATCAGAGCTAAATAAATTAAAAACAGTGAAGAGTTGCATCGAGGGCGTTCAAGGACACGAGTGGATGTTATCATGAAAAAAAAAGGCTGTTAGGAACTGATAAATGTGAGGGAGCCAGGGTTTGATTGTGATGTTTGTAGCATTATTTGTGTTAGGTTTCAGATCTTTTGCTTGTTTTGTGATTTTAGTTTGTTCTGTTGTGGTTATGTTGCTCTCACCTGCTCCTTGTTTGTAATTTAACTGCCAGAGAACATGAAGTCCCTGGTTCTCAGTTTTCTTTTACAACATTCTTGTGAAATCCTGTGGCTTACTGGCACTGTAAAAGGCAGTAATGATTAAATGTAGTTTGTCTTTTCAGTAAAAGACTGACACCCGCTGTGTGTGGAACTGAGGCTGCATTTGGGTCTTTAGTTCATTTTCCACTACTTTGATTGATTTTAACTCTGTGAAATAGTTCTAACTTCAGTTGATTTACTTTATTATCATCTGCAGTGCCTTAGGAAAGTATGAAAAACACATTTTTGTCATGACACAACCCCCTAAAACACAGCAAGTAAGTCTAAGAAAATCCTCTGGTCATTTGAAACTTTTTACAGAGCAGATAATTTTGAACACTACGGTCTTATGATGAAACATGGCAGTGGCAGCATCATGCTGCAGTGATGCTTTTCCTCATTTGGGCTGCGGTGCTGGTTGGAGTTGATGAGGAGATGCCGGTAAATAAAACACAATCCTGGAAGGAAAACTGATGAATCTGGAACAGATTTGATTTGGTGCAAAGGTTCAGCTGTAAACACAGAACCAGAGCTA